TATGGCCATTGCTAGAATTTATCCAAGCTTTCTCAACGAAGGATCGAGAGATGAACTTGAGTTAGCTCCCTTATGCTTAATTGACTTGAAATGCCATTAGAATAGGAATTTCCAGTCAAGGAAATGTTTATGTCATTGTGATTATGCTTTAACACTTGTTTTATGCTTTGTAACCACGAGAGTAGGTTGTATTCATGATTCAAGTAATCCCTCTAGCTTGAGAGGGTAGTTGGGTGCCTTAGATGACTTCCCCTATTTTATCCCCTTAATTTACCTTGATTGTTGCATGCTAATTGTGATTTGTGATGAAGTTGAGTGGTATAACCCGAGCCCTAGATTTCCTTAATATTGTTAATCTCCCCTTAGGTTTTAGTGTTTTGAACTAGTAGAAGTTACTTGAAACCAAACCAATATCGACTTCATTTAGCTTATTTAAACGGTAGTATCTTGGTGGTTGATTCACCGCCTCTCTTGGGTTCGACCCTTTCTTACCCTTGCTATTAGTTAGTGAGACCAAGATAGGATTTATTTTTGGTAGGCTTGATGACGGCCTTTCAGCTACCTCAAGTTTTTAGCGTCTTTTGGTGTTGAGAATAGACGCTTGAACCTTGGAATAATGGGAAGATACCACAACACCTTAGCAGGAGGTCCCTTCTTACCAGCATTGCTACTCATGTGCTTGTAGCGCGACTTCTTGCATCGTGGACACTCTTCCAATTGTTCATATTCATTTCGATAAAGAATACAATCATTAGGACATGCATGTGTCTTCTTATACTCCAAACCAAATGGACACATGAGCTTCTTTGCATAATAGTAAGACTTAGGAATTTCATTCCTGTCAGGCAACATCTCAGTTAACGTGGTCAACAAAGAAGTAAAACTAGTGTCCGTCCAACCATGCTTTGACTTAACGTTGAAAAGTGTTAGCACGGCTGAGAGTTTGGAGTACTTTTTGCACCCAGGATACAAAGGCTTTTTGGCAGCCTCCGACAATGACTCAAACACATCACCTTCAACACCATGCATCACCTCATCCACCTCTTCATCGTGGACCTCATCAATCTGATCATCCTCGACCTCATCCTCATCTTCATCTTCAACATGATCAATAATATATTAATCATTCCCATATTCCTCGTCCACACGAATCTCATCGCTTCTGTCATGCACATCATTCCCATCAACATTCCCACTGTACTCTCCTTCTTCACTGTGCCAAATCCACACATGGTATTTTAGCCTAAACCCACGACAAATTACATGCATGATCTCTAATGATTTCAACACAATTGACCACCTTCACATTATTACAATCAACACAAGGACAATAGAACCAATCGACACCCATTCTGAGCTAATAAGATGAAGCTCTCGCGCAAAACTCTTGAACCCCATGAAAGAATCCCAATGTATCACGTTTACCATATATCCAACCACGATCCTTCTCCATTTAAATCGTCTCTAAACATAGCAACATATTATGAATAATGTGTAAATGCTACATATATTATGTCAATCATATTAAGTACACACCATGCATATACCATTCATATAGTGAAAAAAATGCATGCTTCCAAAGGGACCTTATCACTCCAACCTAACCCATCCTTGAACGTCTGATCTCACTAGTGAATGTATTCGAATTTCCAATTTTAAGGAAAATCCGGTAGCATTTCCCCAGTTCTCCAAGTACACGATGTAGGTAATTACTTACCCACATATGTATCCAGAGAACATGGTGAGGAAATGGTAAGCCAAGATGTTCCTTAAAGTCGAAAAAATAAGACATACATTCACCACCTAAGTGAGAGTAAACGTTCAAGAACAGTCCCAACCGGGGACTATTTAAGACTTTCTCCTAATGAGAAAGCCTTGAACGGGTATCTAGGCATATGATGATGCAAGAATTTTATATATTGTTGTATTTATTTGTCATTAAACAATACACAAGTTGTAATAGCATGAAAAAACTTTTATTAAATGGATAAAGAGGAAAAAAATATAACTAAGCATTTTATATATTGTTGTATTTATTTGTCATTAAACAATACACAAGTTGTAATAGCATGAAAAAACTTTTATTAAATGGATAAAGTGAAAGAAATATAGCTCAGTAAAGTTTATAATTCATACCAATATAGCAAGTACAATGAATGTACACTTTCTAACTTGAAGTTCTCAAGCTAAACTTGTGCTTCACATATGAATCTATAAAAAAACAAAAAGAAACAAAAATTAGTAATTAATTAGTACCTACATACATTGCTAAACTATAACACATTATTCATCAAACTAACAATTGCTAAACTATTCCTTCACTAATTTAGAACACAATTGCTAATCATTAATTCATACAAAATTAGAAATTTGGGAAATAGTTTATTTTATTTTAGCTAAATTCACAATTCAACCAAGTTATATTTTACATACCAAAATTTAACTAACTAACAAGGTTACTAATCTCTAATTTATTCAAAATTACCCATTATAACCACCTAAAAATTCACAAAATTGGGGTTAAATTATATTGAAACCCTAACTTTAGTTTGCTCATATGCCCAACAATTGTTTAAATTCAAAAGATAATATAGGTAGAGAATTGAAAACAATTGTTCAAAATGCCCAAAAAATTAATACTAACCCTAGGTGGAAAAGGTGAGAATAACCACCATAATTGGAGGTGGAAGGGGAGGAGAGATGGAGGGCAAGAGGACGACGGCTGGTGGAGGAGGAACCTCGGAGCTTTGGAGCGGTGGCTGTGGTGCGGCGGCAGTGAAGAACCTTGGGGATGTGGGAGGGGTGATGGAGGGAAGTGGAGAACCTCGGGGCTATAGCGAACCTCGAAGTTGTGGCAAACCTCAGCGGCTGCGGCAGGTGGCAGCACTAATGGAGAGGGTTCTGGTGCAGCGAAGAGGAGGGAACGAGAAAGAGAAAGAATGAAAGACTGAAGTGGAATGAAGTGAAGTGGGAAAACGAAGAAAGAGAAAGAAAAGGAAGAATAAGGCGGGTTTTTTTTAAAAAAAAATTTCGCACCGGTTTGAACCGGTGCTATTTATATAATTTCGCACCGGTTTGGTTTGAACCGGTGCGCATTCCCTTTCCTCAAATCCCCCGCCTATTTTTTTCCTCACCGATTTTTGAAAACCGGTGGGCATTTCTCGCTGCTAAATGATTTTCTACTAGTTATAATATCTGATAAATTCAAACAAAATGATAATGTTGACGGGAATTGATCTTATGCCTTGTGTATCATCCCCCAAAACGGTATCCTATCAAACTATGCTAGTTGTTGGTACCACTAAATTAATTTTATTATAATGTATTTATATGATAATTTCAAACATGATGCAGTTTTTTTTTTAAACAAACATGACATAGTAGGTAATCTATTACGGAGTACAATATTTTAGTAGTTTCTTACACCATTTTTTTAATCCAGTAATTTGACAAAAAAATCCTAATTCTTATACCTACTCCCATTTATAATTGGAAAATTAAAAAACAACAAACCAATCTTTGAGCGTTCTCCCATAATGGACCAACCTTTAAATCTTCCCAAATTAAACACAAGTTTCATTTTTTTCTCTCAAAATGAACCCAACAGGTCACCAAACCTGTTATACCAGGTAAAAATCCACTTGTCATTAAATCATTGGCCAAGTTTTTTTTCTAATTTTTTAATTTTGATAATTTTTACCAAAAAAAAAAACCAAAACCAACCTTTCCCATCACTGCCAGCCCCCCTCCCCACCAGCCACCCCTTCCCCTACCAGCGGCCGGCGCCCAACCAATTCCCCTTGATGCCAGTGACCTTAAACACCGTCGTAATTTTCACCACCTACACCTTAACCTTCATCACCATCACTTTCATCCACTGCACCACCACCTATATACACCACCAACAACCATAACAACCAACGAAACCACCATACCAACCACCAAAACCACCATACCAACCCACCCCACAACCACCAAGATCCAAAAACCCACTTCTTTCCTACTCGAAAGCGATTTGGTCGAATGGTTCGGTTTGCTCCGAAGTAAGGGGAGTGGGGCCAACAGAGAAGGGGGTTTGCTCCGGCTTGGAAGAGGTAGTTATAGGGGGTTCCGGTGGTGGTGGGGACTGGTTCACGTGGGAGATCGGAGGAGGGAGAGGGGTTGATTCTTTTTTTGTTTTTTTTTTTTGTAATTTTTTTGTTTTTTATAAAGGTTTTTAATTAAAAAAAATAATTAAAGAAAAATTTTAAAAATGACCGGTTGTACAGATCACCGGTCATTTGGGTTCATTTTGGGAGAAAAAAATGAAACTTGTTTTTAATTTGGGAAGATTTAAAGGTTGGTCCATTATGAGAGAACCACTCAAAAATTGATTTGTTTATGTTAAATTTTCCTTTGTACTTATAGATAAACCAAAAAAGGAATTACTCCCACATGTTTTGATTTTTATATATTCTATGTCACTTGCCACAATAAATAAACTTACAAAAAAAAAATCAATATCTGACCTACTTCCATATATTCTTACAATAAATCAATATAGAATACAGAATATATTTTGAACGATTTCCCTCAAAATTGCTTAAAGATAGACTAATTCCCTATTTGCGTTGATTTTAAAACTAATTCCCACCATATTGTCCACGTAGGCTTGGTGGTAGCTTCGTTATATTTTTTAATTCTGGTTTAGTGAAGAACCGCTAACGGTGATAACGATTTTATTGTATAGAACCGTTATTACCGTTAGCGCTTAGCGGTTCTTCTAATTAAGGAAGTGGAAAAAAATTATAAGTGTGATAGCGGTTCTTCTATTACCGTTAGCGGTTAGCGGTTCTTTTAATTAGAAGAACCGCTAACGGTGATAGCGGTTTTATTGTATAGAACCGCAGTCACTGATAACGGTTTTTCTAATTAAGGAAGTGGAAAAAAATTATAAGTGTGATATATTTTAATTAGAAGAACTGCTAATGGTGATAGCGGTTCTATACCGCTATTACCATTAGCGGTTCTTCACTAAACCAAAATTTTAAAAAATAAAATAAAATAACAAAGCTATCACTAATTCTACGTTGACAATATGATAGGAATTAGTTTTTAATTAAACTGATGCAAACAGGAAATTATTTTATCTTTATGCAATTAAGGAAAATCGTTCGTATATTTTTGTTAAATGAGTTTCAAATTAGCTGAATTATAGATAACCCAAAAAAGAATTACTCCCACATGTTTATGTATCTGACACATATTCTCCACTAGACTACCATATATTTTATACTTAAACCAAGAAAAGGAACTATACTCCCACAAGTTTATATAAACAGTTCCATTTAACTCATAAAATCAATCAGATAAAACACTAAAATGGAGCCTTTTTGGTTAGTATCACTACTCTTCATCCTTTCATTCTTTATACTTCTTAACTTTATTAAGAAACAAGAACCTAAAAATCTACCACCAGGGCCTCCAAAGTTACCTCTGATAGGCAACCTTCATCAGGTTGCATCAAAAACCACCCTCCCCCACCGCCGCCTCGCTGAGCTAGCAAGTGTGCACGGCCCTATCATGCACCTCCGCCTAGGAGAAGTATCTATAGTGATCATTTCCTCGGCGGAGATGGCGAAAGAAGTGATGAAAACTCATGATGCTTTGCTTTGTAATAGGCCAGCAGCAATGTTATTGCCACAAGTAGTGTTCTATAACTCTAGTGACATCGCTCTTTGCCCTTACGGGCCCTACTGGCGCCAAGTTCGTAAGATCGCCACCCTCGAGCTCTTTACGGCCCACCGTGTTCAGGTGTTTTGGCCCATAAGAGAGGAGGAGGTGGTGGATTTTGTCAAGATTTTAGCTTCTCAGGCTGGATCTGTGGTTAATGTTAGCAACAAGATATTTTCTACGTTGTTTAACATCACTTTAAGGCGCGTTTGTCTAATATGGATGTGTTTTTGGCTAAGGATGGCCATTTCGGATATCCGATCCGCTCCGATTTGAAATTTTGGATATCCGAAAATTTCGGATCGGAAAAAGTTAACGATTCGAATCCGATCAGAAAAATCGGATATTCGATTTTCGGATATCTGGAATTTCGGATCGGATCACCGGATATCCTATCCGCATACTAATATTGAAATTTTGGTATTTCTTTTTATAAAATGCCCTTGATTTGAGTTGTTTAAAATCTTATATTTTATGAACTTTCGTAATAATTATAAATAAACGCAACAAATTCAAGCACAATGATGCAATAAGGTTCACTTGATTATTAAGGTAACTAAAAAATACTTGTAAAAAAAAAAATAAAAAAAAATTCACTTCCTTAAAATTCAAGATACAAATACAGTATTACAATATAATTATATTGAAAAATCCGATCGAATCGGATATCCGAATTTTCTAGATTCGTGATCCGAATCCGATCCGAAATTTTTTGGATATCCGATCCAAAATCAAAAAAAACGGATCGCATATCTAATTTTTCGGATCGAATCAACTGGATCACGAATCGGATCGTTTGGATCGAATTTTTGCCCACCCCTATTTTTGGCGTGTTTGGTAAATGACTTTTTCAATAACATAATAATTACAAGTAGCTTTTAACTTTTTAACGTGGGTGAAAAAGATTTTTTGTTAAATTTCATATTAGCATAGCTTGGTCTAGTGGTAAGATTTGTATCTAAATCAAACCCCATTAGAGACACTCTGGGGTAATTGTTATATTCTAAGTCTATGATGAGAATATTATATGGATACTTTCTATCAAAATTATCAAAAAAAAAAAACTAGTGTGTCTAATAATTTAATTGAACTTATTTTTGTCCAATCTTACAATAATATCTTATACTTTTTTGGTTTGAGATAAGTTAAAATTCATACAATATTTGAAGATCTTAACTATATCTTTTGATTCTCCGATCCAGCTCTAGTGGGTATATTAAATTTGGATTTTACATCGAAGTCAACCGTTTATTTTGTCTTATATGTGAATAAATTGATTGATACGTACTTTGCAAGTATTATTTGATAGTAAAGGTCCAATGTTCAACATCGCACGTATTTGAATTTTGGCCTGGTGTGGAAAATATCGTACACAAAAGGAAAAAATTAATCACAAAAATATTTATGTAATTCGGCTACAATTTACAAATAGTATAATGAATTATTTACTATGTATTTGTTGTCTGTGGAATAATCTAACATGGACAAACGTCCTGCAAAATCGTATATATATGGAGTAAATTCAAAATTCCAAGAACTCTTAAGATGTAATTTCGTTTTTTTAATAATAACGTTTTAAATTTTACACTACTGATACACGTTTTTTATTATTTTTTTATTTTATATACGTTACTTGTAGAAAAAATATAGTCATTTCAGATGCGATCTTATTAAATTTGTTTCGAAAAACACTTTTATAATATCAATTATTTATAATTTTAACTACAATACAACTTAAGATGCTAAAGTTATATAAAATGAAATCTCAAATGTTATGATTAAAAGAAAATGAAGGAAGTATTTGTTAATGGTTATCACCATGTTTGATTGTTTAATTACATATTAACTTGATCATTTACCTAAATTTCAATATTTTAGCGGATTTCTCATAAGTTTTACATCATCAGAATAGGAATGAACAAGAAAGGCAAAGATGGAGACGAGTTCAAAACACTGATATCAGATATGGCAGCAACAGTCTCTGGCTTTTCAATTGGTGACCTATATCCATCATTGAAATTTATAAGTACACTAAGTGGAATGAAAGGGCAACTTCAAGATATAGTCATGAGAATTGACAAATTGATGGATCCTATTATTGAAGAGCATATGACTAAGAAAAAACAAGGTATTGAAGACCAAGACGAAGACTTGATTGATGTTCTTCTAAAATTTCACGAAGACAACCTATGTCTTGGCACCGATTTTTCTCTTACTACCAACAACGTCAAGGCCATAGTTTTGGTAAGTTCCGCTTTATTAATTGCTTACATCAAATGCTTTTTTTTTAATATGTATATATAAATCGTAAAAGTCATTACAAGTTACAACTAAAAATCTTACTACCTCTACTTTTAAATACGCAAAACATTTTCCAATTTTGGTTGTTATGAGTTTAATTTACTGTTTGTGATTTATCTTTCTCTATCTATGTGTCTTTATCACACTGCTTCATCATGTTAATTTTGTTGTGTCACATCCTAGTGTATAATTATTTCAATGGAAGAAATAATTCTTGGGAATTTTGACGCAAATTTAAACATCTATCTAATATAAATTAAAAGGCAAAAGCTAATGAACGTCTCGAGGACGTTGGATAAGTTAACTAAAAGTAGAAAGATTAAATTAAAATGAACATTAATTACACCGATTGACGTGTGATTTTTTCATGCATTCCCAAATTAATACCACTTTAAGTAATACTAGATGGAAGCCCGTGCGTTGCACGGTTTTTTCATCTATTTTTAATTATTTGATTTATTGTATTTAATAATTTCAGACAACAACAAAAGTTTAATATTTATTTTTTTTTACTATAATTTATAATGAATTTATTAAATATAAATAAATTGTAAATATGATATTTTTTCCGTTATATAAAATCTTTAATGTGAAATGATAAATTTTTAATAATTTAAATCCTAAATCATTATTCATTGTTTTACCATATCTTTTATTTCGATAGAACACCAACCTCGTCCACAACCAACCTACTACATCAATGGATAAAAATGTTAGCCAAATTGAAATTGATATAAATTAAATCTTTACATTTATATATAAAAAAAAATCAATATATTTATCAATAAATGAAAAATTGTTATGATATAAAATCAAATCTATGCATTGGAATTTTTTCATCATCTCTAAAACTAACCAAAGTCATCCATATATTAAGTATATAACATTTAATCATATGCCATTACATAAACAAATAATTGTTAAGTATCCTAAATAAATACAATGTAAGTAATAATAACAAATATAAATTTAAACATAAGATTTTAAATATTACCCGGATATTGATGACCTAAAACTAACACAAAATTACTAACACAAAATTTGCTTCATGGGGTATTGTATTGATACGAAATTTTATTTGTGTCGTATGATGTGTTAGATCTACATATAAAAAACATTTAGTAAATAAAACATAAACATATAATCGTTGAGTATCCCAAATTAATACAATGTAAGTAATAATTAGAAATACTAATTTAAACATAGGATTTTAAAAATTAAGCTAAAAATTACCCGACCATTGACCAAAAATTAACACAAAATTAATAACACAAAATTCACTTGATGGGGTTTTTTATTGATACAAAATTTTGTTTGTGTTGTATGATGTGTCAATTTATAATGGTAGGTATCACAAATTTTAATTTAATTATAATTAACGAACAATTTGTTTTTCTTATCATAAATACTATCAAAATTTATCTTATATAATTGGTTTCAAACTTTATTATAAGCGTGTATCATTTAAATATTTTTTAGTATATTTTTTTTATTTCTTATACTTGTAGTATTGAATTAATAAATTTATCTTTTCCTATATTTTTACTTTATTTTTTCATTAAAATAATTTAATTCATGGATTATAATCTACGTGGCATTAAAATTTTAGATATATCAAATCTAATTCGTTACTTTTATCTAGGTGTGCATGGTTTTTTTTTCATACATAAATCTCAAGAAAAGATATTTTCCTATTTAATAATTTTTGACGAAAAAAACACATAATAATTTAATTAAAGTGTTATTGCCTATTACAATAGTATAATTTTATTTTTTTAATGTAATTTATTAAACGGATTTATTTATTGTTTTTTTGTATTTTATTCGTTGTTGTTAGTTATATGACAACTAAATTTAATAATATGAATAAATTGTAAATATGATATCTAAAAAAAATTGTAAAAATGATATTTTATCGATTACATATTAGGTTAAAATCTTTAGAAAAGATAATTTTTTTTTCATTTTATGAATAATTTAAATCCTAAATCATTATTAGTTGTTTTTTAAAAAATAGAAATAAAAAATAATACAAACTTGTATACTATTTATCTTCTATTTCAATAGAATCACCTACTTCGTTCACACCCATATCTCTTCCATCTAATAAAAGTGGATAAATAAAACATGTTAGCAAAAAAAAATTATATAAAATTAACCGTTATACTCTTATAAAATAAATCAATATATTTACCAGGAAGTGAAAAATTGTTGTGAAATTGATCTAAAAATCGTAATTGTACAAAATCAAATCTATGCATTGGAATTTTTTCATCGTCCCTAATAGCCCGAACAATAGTATTTTGGAAAATTGAATCATTATTTTGTTGTCACTGACAATGCGTGCAATATTGCTTCTTATTTGTAACAAATGAAAAGTATTTAATTGAGTAACTTTTCTTTTAATTAATTTTGGACGAATTGTAAAAAGTTGGCTTTAATTGAGGTATGAACGTAATCAAAATTAAGTTAATTTGATGACTTGATTAAGCTACCTAAATCACAAAAAAATTGTTCTAATCATAAAATTAATTAATATAAACTACAAAGGTTTATAAAAAAAATTAATAAATGTAAACAATTTATAAAGATATAATACCTTCTCATCCAATAGGACCATCAGACGAGAAAGTCGTACTTTGATTTTCCAATCATTTTTGCTCGAATCTAATTCTCTGATTAAATCAGATCTGCGTGTAAAAACAAAATTTAGTAAACAAAACATAAACATATAATCGTTAAGTATTCCAATTAAACACAATGTAAGCAATAATCACAAATATACATTTAAACATGGATTTTAAAAATTAAGCTAAGAATTACTCAGCCATTGATGACTAAAACTGACACAAAATTCGCTTGATTTGGTTTTGTAGTGATACAAAATTTTGTTGGTGTTGTAAGATGCGTCAATTTATAATGGTATGCATCACAAATTTTAATTTATTTATTATTAAGGAATAATTTTTATTTCTTATCATAAACACTATCAAGATTTATCCAAGATATATAAATCCTATATTTAAAGATGATTATTTTAAAATAATTTTTAGTTTTTTAAATAAATTAAATCCTAATAAATCACTATTCGTTGTTTTAATTACGTGGCAAAATTCTTAAATCTCATTCGTCACTTTTTCTCTTAGGTGGCGAGTGAATTTATTAATTTTAAAATAAAATACAAATCTATTTTTAATTGGTCGAAATAATACCTTTGCTTATGTGGTGCGCCGAATGCTCTCAAAAAATGCCTACTTTATTTATATATATTAGATTTTAAATGCTTATTTAACGTCTCGGGGGCGTTCGTTAGTAAGATCCAAATTAAAATCATATTCTTATAAAACTATGTAGAATTTAAGTAGGGAGCAAGTAATAATTCCCATAAGATGTCACACACGTTAGTTTTAATATAGTGTCTCGTATAGATTAAGATTTCATTATTACAAAATTATGCAGGAGTTATTTGGTGCTGCGAGTGAAACATCTTCAACACTAATTGAGTGGGCAATCTCTGAGTTGTTAAAGAATCCTATAAAGATGGCAAAGGCACAAGATGAGGTGAGACGAGTATTGCAAGGAAATGAGACAATAATTAATGAGGCAAGTCTAGATAAGCTCAAGTATTTGAAACTCGTAATCAAAGAAACTTTAAGGCTTCATCCTCCTTTCCCTTGCTTGGTTCCAAGAGAGTCCTTAGCGAGATGTGAAATTGATGGTTATGAAATACCTTCAAAAACTCGAATTTTCATTAATGCATGGGCCATTGGAAGAAATCCAAAACATTGGACAAACCCAGAAGAGTTTAATCCCGAAAGATTTGAAGAATCTTCAATTGATTACAAGGGAATGCATTTCGAGCTAATTCCATTTGGCTCCGGAAGGAGGATCTGCCCAGGAATGGGACTAAGTATTGCCACAATCGAGCTTGTGCTAGCCATGTTGCTTTACCATTTTGATTGGAAGTTACCTAATGGGACTGGACCCGAAGAATTGGACATGGATGAGACTTTTGGCTTAGTAGGGAGGAGGAAGAATGACTTGCAAGTAATTCCTTTGCTATACACTTTCTCAGGTTACAAATGATGGTCTTTTCGTTGCTATGTTAATTAGCTTAGTTTATGATAATAACGTTCGACTGTTTTTTCTTCATGTATTGATAATCATCTTGAAAATTTAATATTTTGAAAAAAGATTTGTGTTAGGATAACCATATTCAATATTTTGATGTTACTCTATATGATTCAAAGATTCAACATTTTGAGTTCAAGTCTTGCTATAAGCATTTTTTAGATGTCAAATCTAATTCATGTTGTGGAGGTGATGTGACATGTTTATAGTGCTTAAAGAGGTGACACATGATATATACTGATGACTTGGCACGTTTATAGAGTTTAAAATAAAGGGTGACACATGACACATATTCTGTTTTAGGAACGTTTTTTAATAGATAAAGTATAGACTAGCAAAAAGTATGATCATTAATGAGAATGAAAATCAATTTAATTAGTTTTCCATTTGAATTATGCATGCACTCTCTTTTAAGAAACGATCGTGTATGTGATGAATTTTTATTACTTTGTAATGGTAATATCGACTTGTCTTGTCTTTTATTCACTAATAAGAACATGTTTCTTTCAACTTACTTTTCCTTATTTTTTCTTTCAAGAAAAAAAAAATTAGGTTGAATTTATAAACAAACAAATAATAATAATAATAATAATAATAATAATAATAATAATAATAATATTGAAGAAATTAGTTCTCATGTCGATCATAGTATCGTCCCCTAAAACTTTACCCAATTTAATTAAATACTAGAACCACAAAATCAAAGTTATTAATTATGATGTATCTTTTCTGTAACTCTAGATGGGACAATATGTATATACCTTTTATTAATAACAAAATACATACCTTACTGATTATACATACTTCAACAAATTAATTGTTAATAATAACTTTTATTTTTCAGCAACTTTTTATAATTAAAATCAAATACAACCAACAATTTTATTTTATTTTATTTTTTATTTTTTATTTTATTTTGACATGAGCATACTATATTGTTATGGAAAGCTAGTTGTATTACCAGTTAATTGTATATATTAATCAATTCAACCTTGCAATAATTAAAAGTAGTGACACGGTAACAAAATTAATAGATTATTGTTAATTTTTAATGAATAAACAACATTTTTTAACACATTTTTTTTAACCATCCACACTGAAAATAACTCAGAGCGCGCAATTTCTATAGAGATAATGCCAAAAATGAAACTATTTTCTTATATATATGCACTAGATGAAGCCCATGCAATGCACGGTTTGTTTGTATTTTCTTACAACTTATATCTTTTTCCTATGTTTGTGATAAAATTTGTTACTTTAGTTATTTGTTGTACGCAGTATATCATATTATCATTTAATATTTTTATTTTATTTATTTTAAAATAAATTGTGAATTTTCTCTTATTTGTTATATATTTAGATAAAATTCCTAATATCAAAAGATAATATTTTATATTTATTAATTTAAACTTTAAAATTTCATTCGCCAATTTTAGTTTGTTAACGTAGAACTTAATTTTTAAGATGTACTAATAAATGATAAATGATGAACATTTTTTTTTTGCTAGAAAAAAGAGAAAAGATATATTTTAAATTTTAATGATTTTTTCTTATTTTTTGTATTTAATTTAAAACTATTTTTTTTTTGAGAGAAAACTAAATTTTTTTTTTATTAAACGTGATTTCATTTTTTTTTTATTAGTATAGTTTTATAAAATATTTTATTATAATCATTTGTCATATTTTCATTATTTTTTTTATCTAAGCCAATTTTTTTAAAATATCAATTGAACGTTAATTTCATTTTTTTAAAAAATTTAATGGTATTTTTTTATATATACTAAATAAAATAAATTGTTCTTTTCTCTTAGATAAAATTTCCTATTTAAAAAGATAGTATTTATTTTTCTAATAAATTTAAATTTTTAATTTTAATATTTCGTGGTGCTTTAAAAATAACAATTCTACGTGGCATAAACTTATACGTAACACTCTAAAAATACTAATCCAACAGGGCGCTCTAATAATTTTTTAAAAATAAAAATTCTAAGTGGCTCTCTCAAATCTTGGGAAAAAACTCCTTTATATAATTTAACGTGATTTTATTTTTTTTATTTGTATACTTTTATAAAATATTTTATTATAATCACTTGTCATATTTTCATTATTTTTTTATCTAATCCAACTTTTTTAAATATCAATTGAACGTGAATTTTATTTTTTTAAGTCTAATAGTATTTTTTGTATATACGAAATTAGATAAATTGTTTGTTTTCTCTTAGATAAAATTTTCAATTTAAAAAGATAGTATTTTATTTTTATAATAAATTTAAAATTTTAATTTTAATCTTACGTGGCACTTTAAAATAACAATCCTACGTGGCATAATCCTATAAGTAACGCTCTAAAAATACTAATCCTACATGGCGCTCTAATAATTTTTTAAAAATAAAAATCCTAGGTGGCTCTCTAAAATCTTGGGAAAAAACTCCCTATATATATATATATATAGGTTTTAAAACTAATTCTTCACATACCGTCCACATAAGAGTTGAGATTCATTTTTGTTTTGTGCAGTCCAAAATTACTAATGGTGATAGAGGCTTTAGATAATATAAAGAGCTGCTAACACCAATAGAGGTTCTAAATTAGGAGTTAATGGTGTTAAATATTTTAGATTAAGAGTTGGAAATAAAATTGGAGTTTTAGGTTAAATAAAGTAGTAACTCATGACTTGGGAAAATTGATCTCATGTGTTAAACCACTAATACCATTAGTGATTTATTAGTAGAACCTTTAACACACACTAGTAGAAGTTTAATTAATAGAACCTCGACTAATGTTAGTGGTTTAATATTACCTAAAACCTCTATCATCACCACTACCAATTCATTGATTAAAACCTCTAGAGATATTAAGCTTTGAATCCTTCACCAGTGCTATGAGCCTATGACATGCACGGTATATGGGTGTAGACACTTGATTGTGTCTCCTCAAAAACCAAACCCAGTGATGAGTACCTTTCACGTCTCTGATTATCAAGTTAGGTGAAGAGTTGAAGAGTCTCGTGAAGTTTCCTTAAGCCTTGACCATATTTCTAACCTTGCCTAAAATGTTTTAAACCAAAATCATTCATTTCGTGTCTTTAAACCCAAAAATCGTTCGTTTCGTGTCCTTAAAATTATTTATTTCGTATGCCATTTATAAAAATGTCCAAACCAGATTCTTCTGGTCCATGATCTTGGTCCAATTATTGTTTAGTTGGATGAGGTTTGAAAAGAGCTTTCCAACGATATATTATAAGCCCAAACCCGACTTAAAACAAATAAGTTATGGCCAAAATACTTAACCAAGCCCAAATCAGGCTTAGGTCCACCTTACCTACGACCAAATGATCATGAGGTGGGTCCAAATACCTTAATCCCAATCCTAAACCAATTAGAATTCATTAGGAGCTTCTAGAATTTTCTAGAAGGTTCTAATTTATCCTGTTTTCTAAAGATAAAAATTTGAGAATTTGATGATCCTAATCCCGATCAAAATAGAATACGTACGGAAATTTGATTGACCAAATTAGAGTGGAAATCGGATTCTGCGCGAATTCTATCTTTTTCAAAACCATCCCAGAGCGACAGAGCCATCACGCCGCAGTGCACCTGTCGCGCTGCGATAAAGGTGTCGCGCCGCGATGAGACTTGTTTTAGTCCGATTTGAATTCTGACTCTTTTCTGATCCTTCGACCCTCTTTTTTCCCTATAAATAGAGATCGTAGCACCCCATTTTCATTCACCAACAATCATCATCAATACCTTCTCTAATACTTTCTCTCTCTCTCTCTTGATTTTTCATATTCTTAGCCTAGCCTAAACACATCCTTGATACTTTCCCCAATCAGTCACAATACCTCATTTGCGAGACTTGTATACTCCTTACCCTTCTCGACGTTGCCTTTGACCTCGACGTGAAAGGTTGATAGTTCTGAGGGTTTGGTCCCAATCTATATTTCAATTATTATTTAATTTATTTACTTTGTTGATTTAATCTTTCTTGAAGTTACTAACGTGTTTATTGTTTTAATAGCAAGAAGGAAGGAAAATCAACGTAAGTAATTCAACTACTTAATCCTTAATTTTGGAGTAGAAATCATGTTTAGAGTATTATTTAATTCCTAGTATCATGTTAGGATGCTTTTACAATTTCTAGCTATTATCATGTTAGGGTGTTATTATGATTTTTAGTATCATGTTTAGGTTAATTCTTTGATTATGATTTTTATTAGTGACATGCTAGGATTTGTTATTAATTCGTTTAGTATCATGCATAGGATCTTTCTATTAATGATGTTTTGATGATGTTATTTTGATGATTGTTATTATGTCAATTAATTATATGTTGCTTGATTATTCATGATTGATTGTTATTGCTTGATCACGCCCCTTTTTACAGGTTTAAAGGGAATTTGTACTTGAAATCATGCCTAATAAGATAATTAATAATTTGAATTTAGGCTAATATGATTTTAATTCAAGTGATCACCAATAACAGATTTGATTGTGCGTTAATAATCAACCAACATAGTTTAAACATGTTTAGAGCTATCTTGATGTATGTATGTTGATCGGAAAGAGCACATGAATATCATAAGAATTAAGCAGAGGCCGATTTAGGGCGGGTTCAATCTTTTTTAGGTTGGATTCGTACCATCATCCCCGAATATCCAGTCATGGTTCCGAACCACTATGGAGTTAGCAATCTCCATGATCGTGAATGAGGTGTAACCTTCGCACCTGTGAATGGTTTACAAGTTCTTAAAACTTGTTGGCGACTCTTCTATTTCTAGCTTTCTTCCCTTGGAGTGCTGCCATGCCTAAAAGCATGATCACAGTGGGGCTCAAAAGGTTGAGTTTGAAAAAATTCCCTACAGTTTTTGGCGAATCCACTCGGGAGGATTTCTAATTTTGATTCCTAAAATATTATTTTGGCAATCGATTAAGAATGAGTTGATGAGACTTGAAATATTCTAGATATTCATGTGGGTAATTTTGTTTAACAGTGTGGCATAAGCATAAAAAGGTTCGCATTGGAAAGACCATCCGTAATGCGTTAAATCATAGGATTTTATACACGTAGGAAAAGCCAGAAATATCTTTCACAACTAAAATCG